TTTAAAAAATAAGGAGGCATCAAAGCGTCTGTTTGGCGAGGTTATGACATCACGTCTGCGTTTGCAGGAGTTCCTGTTGAACATGGAGGACAGCGTGGACGAGACGGAGGCCGTGAAGCGCTACAACCAGTACAAGCTGGACTTCAGGCGGCAGCAGCTGCAGGACTTCTTCCTCCAGCACAAAGAGCAGGAGTGGTTCCGCTCCAAGTACCACCCCGATGACATCGCCACGAGGAAGGCAGAGTCTCTGGCCGCCCTCAAAACCCGACTCGGCGTCTTCCTCTTCCTCATGGACAACAACTGGCTGGACAACGTATCGCTCGACATGGACCACGCCCCTGCCATCATTAAACTCCTCGATGCAGGTAAACTGGACAGGAAGTGACGTGAGACGGGGTTTGTGTGTAATAAAGTCTTTAACCTGCGTGTCTCTGTGCAGCTGTGATAAAGATGGAGGGAGGAACCGACTTTGACCTGCAGGTCCTCGAGGTTCAGGCGAACGCAGCAGGAGGTGCTGGAGATGCGAGCGGAGGAGGAGGTGTAGGCGAGAAGAGTCAGGCGGATCCCAGCGGAGGAAGCGTGGGTGGTCAGACCAGCTCAGAGGCGACTGTGACTCAGACGAAGGAGACGGCGAGCGGTGACGCGGGCGATAACAAAGACACAGAGAAGGTGACGTCCTCGTATATCCTCAGCAATGTTCCCTCTAAGCTACGCGCGTGCACACTGGTCTCTGCGCACAGAAAAATCTAACCTGAATTGAAATTAAAATTAATACTTTAACAATCCTGTTCTGCAGTGTTAGTCAGTGACTGGCTGCTCCTGTATGGGAACGATGCCACCATATCCCATAGTCCAGCCAATCACGCGATTCACATTCGTATATACGCAGCTAATCAACGTCGCTGACAGGCTATGACAGCGTCCTTATGTGCTGACACCGGCGTTTTAGCAAAGCAGCTGATGTGGAGTGATGCCACGTTAATGACAACGTGTACAACCATGTGAGATGTGAGCAGGACAGACGGAACAATTGACGGACAAAGTGTGAACTTTATACCAGTTTTTAAATTGTGTTGATCGGCCATAAAACCAGAGTTCAAATTCAAATTTTATTTGTCACACACACACAACCATACACAGTATGACATGGGGGTGAAATGCTTGTAGCTGCGCAATGCCCGACCATTAAATGACAGAAAAAAGATTTACAGTATTTACAATTACTACAAAATTTACAAA